TAAGGTCACCCAGCTGGCTTTGTGCCTAAAGTGAGGTTAGAATTCACAGCCTCCCGGTTTCTAGCCTAACCACTACACCAAAGTGGTTCTCAAGCCTAATCTACCATTCCTTTATTGTATGGTTTTATATTTGCAATTTTCTCTCTCAACTTCCACTTATTTTCAACTTTTATTTTATTTTATTTTCAACTTACAAGCCCTATTTGAGTAAGGCTGCTTGACACAAAACCTGTCAAAAGATTACCTTGAATAGAAATTAAAGCCAAAACTAGATTAGATGACAGATTACATCTCATTTTTTCCTTTAATATCAGGATTCAGACCACAACATGTTACATGAAGAGAAACTGTTAACGTTACCTTCTCTTTCTGTCCCAATGACAATACTGTTCTTATGAGAGAAGTTTATATTGGCAGACAAAGGGATCTTTGCTCTGGGGTAAAGAGCAGGGTGTTGGGGATTTTTAATTATGATTGTATTGGGGCAAAACCTGAAACCTCCCTCCCCACATATTGTGATCCTGTTACTGTTGTTCAGAAAATGAAGAAAAATATAGGCACATCAAATACAAAAATGAAGATTTAGATTTACTATCAGATTCCTGTTGCTTCATATGCCTCCTGCATTATAGTTTGTAGAGTTCTCTCACATTTAATTGCACTCTTTTATGATGAATCAAAGGCTTCATTTTTTTAGAGTGGCAAGAGAAATGCCTCTGTGTGTACCATCAGCTTCAGGTGGGAACACGATTTCAAACAAAGCTAAGCAGGGTCAGGCCTGATTAGTACTTGGATGGGAGAGATCCAGGGCGGACCAGGTCTGTAGTAGGTTAGACTGTGAAATTTAAAAAGCATCCTGGAGAAATGCATTGCCAACCCACTTCCATACTGTTATTAAAGAAAATTACATTGACTAGGCCATGTAGTCACCAGGAATCAGTCTCCAGTCCAGAGCCCCAAGCGCTAAACTAGCTCATCCCTCAGTTTCTTATGGGGGAGAGTCCTTTCTCAACCAGCACAGGAATTCCATTCAGTGAATTTAGAAGGTGTAACAAGAGAGCAGACCACCATTTATCTTTCAGTATAAAATTTGAAGGTTACATCCATAGTGTCCAACTCGCACTGTGTGCTGGCTATGAGAAAGTCAGAGCTGTGATCTTTATACTTACTTGCGTTAAATTTCATTGATCATCCTGGTACTTATTCATCTTGGCTAGAGATATCTTAGAACTATTGCTGTTCATTTGGGCTTTGCTACCTGAGATAATCAGTCATTCACCTATTACAGACAATGATCAGACGTCTTCTCTGTCCTTTGGCCAAGGGTGGCAGCTGAGATAATTCAGTGTCAACTTCCAGTTTAGGCACTCACTGCTCTTTGAAAACTATAAATAGTGCTTGAAGTAGTCAAAAAGCATTACATCAAATATGGTTCCTTTGGTAGTATGTTTTTTTAATTTCATTTCTTTCATTGTGAGAGCTCTTACCTCTTGTTTTCTGTTGTTTTCTTCCAAGATTCACAAACTAGCTCGGGATACTTGGTGTCTGCCAGGTCACCTCACTGTCATGCTTGTTGAAACCACAAACACTCAAAATTTGATGCCCAGGGCTTCCCCTTGTAGAACCTATGCCAATGCTTTTTGAGCAACACTTGCTATTCTACAGAGGTGCAAATTATATATTTAATAAATAACAATTTATGAATATGGTATAATCCTTACAAAAATAAAGATGTTTATAATTGGGCACAATTTTATCTACACCTTTTCTTTAGCACCATTTACAATAAATAATATAATATCTTGTATATATCATTATCAAACTCTCTAGTTATATCAATCATGTTCTTCCGTATAGCATATTTTTACAAGTAACAGAATAACTAATCCAGGCTGTATCTAGGTGGAAGTCTAATTTTATTAATGAGGCAGAAAACCCAGTCTAAACTGCTTCAGAACTTTTGAGTGTATAAATCTCTAAATAAAACTAAATTGATAACTGAGATTAGAAATAAAAATGCAAAATTTTTCATATATCTGAAAATGTTACTTCCAGCACTCGGTGAAAAGTTCTAACAGTTCAGTTTTATCAAGAATAAAAGTGATATTTTGTTACTCAATGAAGCATGTGACCTAGTTCTTCTTCTCCATGAAGCATGAAACTAAAATCTAATGATTTTCCCTCTGTTAATTCTGTGTGGAGCCCTGTAAAGCTGCTTTTATACTGTTAGTTATTTTAAGAGGAAAAAGCTATGTTGATGTTGCTTTTAAAATGTCGTTCTTTCTCACCTAATGAATTAATTCTTGCCGGAAGTGACCCAAAGAGGTAGCTTTTAAAACGTGTGTATCTTATTCAGTAGTAATCTCTTTAGCTTATAAAATTGGTTAATCATTACTGAAGGTTATGATGAAAATTTAATTGCCTACTTTCCTTACAAATATTTGAACTGATACACTACTGTTTTTAAAACTAGGAAATTAAGAATGCAGATGCAAGGGGGATGAAGCTTTGACAGAGATCAGAAAAGAACTTCAATTTTGTTTTCTTTGGGCCAAAATAAACTACCCATCCCAATTTTTTTTAAAAATGTCTTTTTTTCTTTACAGTGCCCACCAGACTTTAGTTTTGTCAGTACCATAAGCAGAATGTTTATAAAGCCAGTCTTACTGGGATCTCCTCTTCTGTTCACTTCCAAAATATGAGGCCTACTGCTGTATTAGGCATCACATTGCAATGGTCTAGAAAGGCCATCTAACGTTTTAGTGCCTTTTTAGAAATGTGAGAAACTTCCATGGATGGTGTGGGTAGTCAAAGGATAAGTCACTTGCCCAAGAAACTGTGTGCAGGATGCTATCAAAGGCATGCAAATGAGGATGTAATCCCACTTAACACCGTGGGATTTGCATCTATGTAGGTGCCTGTCAGAGCATTCTACATCTCCTGTCCAGCTTTTTTTGCTCACTGTTGCTTGGGCAGAGACAAAAGAGGGCAGGGTGGCTTTAATAGTTGAGTAGAGAATGGAATTTCAGCAGGTCATGCAAACTATGGATTTCTTTTTTCTACACAATTAATAAAGCACAAGAGACCTTCCTGTTTGGCATCTAGCCACCAGCCTCACTCATTCTGGCCATTTCCTGCCTTCATCTGTCCCCCCTTCTTCCTAAGGCTGCAATCATAGGCACACTTACCTGGGAAACAGCTCCATTCAATTCAATGGACTTAGTTGTGAGTGGACTTGAGTAAAGTGGTCTCAGTATCCACCTCAGTCCATCCCATTGCTCTCTTTTGCAGATGTATGTAATATGCATACAGAGAGAAACATCCTTTAAACTACCTATTCCTACTGGGAAGGAGAAAGAAAGAAAGAGTGTTATAGTGGCTTTTTCCTGTAAGGATTCCTATGCTTATGGATGCTAGTACCATGGTTTGTCTATTCTATCTCTGTCTTTCTTGTACCTCTTCACTTTTCTTGGTTTCACCTCAGTCAGTGTATAAAAGTGCAAAATAAATGCGAAGATATAAAAATGAAGTATATGCAGGTTTCACCTCAGTCTGTTTTTTGTTCCCTGTTGCCAGGTCAAGACTGAAATCAGCGTAGAAAGCAAACACCAGACCCTCCAAGGCCTGGCCTTCCCTTTGCAGCCAGATGCACAACATGCCATTCACCTACTAAAGCAAAAGAAAATAAATTATATCCAGCTGGTAAGGGATTCTTTTGCCAGGGGTGGGTGGGTGGGTGTGGGGTGCTTTCAATTTAATTGTCCCAAGTTTTGCTCATTTCTGTGCATGGCCTGCTTACACAAGTTGCACTGTTGGAGTTTCCACCTCATTGTTTCTTCCCTTCTCTTGCCTTTGTTTCAACAGAAGCTGGATCTGGAGCAGGAGACCATTGAACTGGTCCACACAAAGGCTACAGAAATTGTCGACCTGCCTAGAAGAATTCCTCAGGATTCTGCTCGCTACCACTTCTTTCTGTATAAACACTCTCATGAGGGAGATTATCTGGAGTCGGTTGGTAAGCTCTAACCAAATCTATAGCTGAGAAAAGATTTTGTTCTGCCCTTTGGACATGGAATGGGTATGTCTATGTCCCTCTGGAATGGCGCTGCCATCTTGGGGAGGGGGGAGGATTTAAAACCTTCCTGGTGGATTCCTTATCCAAGGGTCCTCAGTAATTACAGTATGTGAATCTCCTGGCACTCCCAGTCTGTCCGGCTGGGAAGCTCTTAGCCTCTCAACCTAAGATTACTCCCTTCAGCCCAGCTCTAGAAAAACTCAGACTGTTTTGGATCTTCCTACCCACAGCCTAGAAATGCAGTGCAAAACTAAAGAGCTTCATGCCACTTGTGAAACAGAAGAGAGACTCAGATTTGCAGTCCAGCCCATGGGGAAACTTTTAATGAGAAATTGATTTCTAAAGCCAGTGAAGCCAAATTATAGACATAAAAAGGAATTTATTGGGAAAAGGGAAAGGCAGAGAAAACAAGGAAAGGCAGCAGTCACAGACCCAAAATTCCAAATGAGTCTAGTTATTTACAGTACTACCTCCTTGAATAAGCTCTTGTATATCAGGAGGTATTTGTTGCAGAAACGATAGTTGGGGGGGGAGAGATCATCTGAGTCTTGGAGGTTCATAGATAGGCTGTTCTTGATTCTCCTCCTCCTCCGCCTCCTCTTCATTTTCTCTTAAACACTTTTCAGTTTTACAAAGTGTGAGGGATAAGTGGAAGCCAGCTTCTTTGGGAAGACCGACCGTTGCTTTGTCCCAATCAAGGATAATGCTCATCTATGATGTCCTGGGTCTAGCCAGCAAGCCAGAAATTTTCTAGAGTTACCCACCCACCTAATAAGGCTGGTGGAACATTTTTTATTTTATTTTCTTATTTTATTTTCTTATTTTATTTAAAAGATTGGTATGGCTGCCCATCTTAAAGTGCAACACTTATAAAGGTAGAGCCTGGATTTAACCCTAACCCTAACCCAGTCTGGCCTTTGCATAAATAGTATTATGTGTGAGAAGCTCGTTTAGGAAACAAGAGCTGAATTCCATCTATTCAGGTATCTCAGAATGGAGTCAATTTATCAGCTGCTTTAGGAATCATTGTGGTGCCATACCAAAGCAAGAAGTTTGTCACAGATGGGTGCAGGATTTTCATTATCAAATGAACCAAAGAGCTTAGGTCACTACTGGTTCTCCTATCCATGAATATAGGAGTCCTGAGAAAATAACTTTTAATATGTTGCCTTTGCTGTTGCCCCCACCCTATGGAATACTCTCCCCCCCAGAGGTGAGGCGGACCCCTACCCTCCCAATTTTCCTGAGGGAATTGAAGACTTGGCTCTGCCAACTTGCTTGGGGTGAGGAAAGATACAACCGACCCTGGGGATGGCTGGCGCCTTGAAGACACTCCCTGAGTTTATTAACACCTAATTAGCATCAGCCTCTTGGAATTATTATATAGGAAGTTTGTTACTGTAGCATATTTTAATTAATTAATGTTTATTTTAATTTATCTATTAATCTAATTAATTAATTAATTAAATCTAATATTTATCTATTTTAATTAATGTTTATTCTGTTTTTACTGTAAACCTCCCAGAGTCATTCTGCAGTGAGATGGGCAGTGACCAATTTGAAAAATAAATAAATAAATCCATTTTGATTATACATATTTATTTGTATAGTTCCCCCATGCTAATGGAACCTTATAAGCCAGTATTTTAATGACCAAACTATGTGTAATAGATTTTGGATAGAATAAGAATTGATGCCTTTTCATCTATGCAGCATATAAACAATATTTGTTTAATTGTAAATCCCTTTCTCTGTATTTTGAAATGCATTTCTTTGTTTTATCACATGCTATTGTGGCATACATGGGCATTGTTTCACCATAGGTTAGTGGAATTAATTTTACGGGAGTCCAAGAATGCCTGATCTTCCTTTCTCTTTCTCCTAGTGTTTATCTACTCCATGCCTGGTTACAAATGTAGCATCAAAGAACGTATGCTGTACTCCAGCTGCAAGAGCCGATTGCTTGACTCCGTAGAGCAAGATTTCTGCCTAGAAATTGCGAAGAAGGTAAGCCTTTGTCCTCTGGACTCATAAGCTCCTTGAAGAAAAACATGTTCTCTTCCATCTAGCTAGACTTTTAGAGTTTCAAGCAGTATGAAAGAGGGTGGTGTGGGATCTGAAGATTGATCAAAAGAAAATTACTCAGAAGTCACCAAATGGGTTGTTGGAAGGACATGCTAGAGACAGAAAACTGGTGCCCCAACAGCATGGACAACATGAAAAACAAGAAAAGACTTTAATAAACTCACCTCTAATGAGGAGAAGAAATGTCCAGGTCCTGGAAGTACGGCTGAAACCAAGTTTAGAAGTGGCACTACAAAGTAGGAGTGGAGTGGAAGTTGGAATGCTTTGGGGAAAAGAGAGGAAGGGGAATATAATGGAATGCCATTACTGAGAAGAAAATACCAATCTCAGCTGAGTTTCAGGTTCTCAGTGGCCAGATCTGAGGACTGCATTTCTTCTTTCTTTTGTACCAGATTGAAATTGATGATGGAGCTGAGCTGACCGCTGAATTCCTGTATGATGAGGTCCACCCCAAACAGCATGCCTTCAAGCAGGCTTTTGCCAAGCCAAAGGGTCCTGTGGGCAAAAGGGGACAGAAGCGACTTATCAGAGGACCAGGCGAGAATGGAGAAGACAGTTAAACCCAAAGGATGGGTCAGCAAAGAGCTGTGAATGTCTCCCAGCCTCCAGCATTGCAGCTCCAATCAAATCCACCTCTCTGCATTTGAGCCTGTCCACTGAGTTCCAGAACCTTTTCCCCTATTTCTTTTCTCAAAGTCATGTCCATCAGTTTCATTAATGGGGTGGGAGGGTTGGAATCGGGGGACAGATAGGAAGATGAAGACGACGGCATGCTCTTTTTTCTTTCCTCTTGCTCTATTGTTATGTAAATCTAGGGGGAGGGGGGACCCTAGTGGTTTTTGTTCTTTGTTTTTTTTTAATATTTCTTACAACAGATGCTCCTGTTACTGCTTCATCTTGTGGCCTGTTTTACTTGGAATCTGCACCACACAAATAATTTTGTTCACCTCTCATCTGAGAGAATTGCATATACCTGTAAAGCAACTCGATATAAGCCTGTGCTGTGACCCAAAAAGAGAGGCACGCATTTGTATGATAACAATAACTTATGGCACTCCCATCCTGTTAATGCCATCCCCTTACCAAGGGTGTCTGTTTCCCTAGTATTTGATGTAGTACTCATTTGCCCACTGTTTGAGGCAAAGAGCAGTGTGTTCCAGGGATTAATTTTGAAGCAGGGTGTCTTTTCCTTTTGGTTCAGCAGAAGCTGGTGGATTTGAGGGGGTGGGGAAGTGCTAAAAGTTAGTCAGATTTCCTCCAAAATAGAGGTATGTTGTTGGTTTTTTTAAAAAAAATAGCTTCTTTTCCAAGCTGCTGAAGAAGTCAAACTCATTTTGTCCAAAAGTCGTGATAATCCCATTCTAGGCCTCACTGTTTGTGGAAAAAAGGATGAATATCTATCACAAATCCATTGACAGGTTGGATTTCTCTAAAAGGATGTTCTGCTTCATTTCTTACTTGTAGAAAGCTAATTACACTGCTTTTCCTTCTTCCCGCCTTGTTTCTTGATGGCTCATTGCATGATGATACAGCCATATGAATGGACATGGACAGTTAGGAACTGGGAGCACAATTGCTGTCCTGCCCTTGTTGGCAGCATTGCAACTTAACTACATTCAAGATGGCAAGAATCACCCCATGTGTAGCTCCCATATGCTTTCCCATGCCAACCTCTCCCCATGTGTTGGCTTGCAGCCTAATACAGCTTTCACTTAACTGAGATCATCCTCTGACTTACTGAGACAGTAGATTCCTTCCTGATCTGATTTTCCCCCCTCAGTGTTGGGCATCCAGCTGGACTCTAAAGTAAAGCCACTCAGTCCTTGGTCATCTCACATTTGCTCACTTGTTTGCCTGCATCCTGGTTCATGACACCCAACCATTGCATCCCTTGATCATGGATCTTTAGTTATGTGATAGAGCTTTGCCAGGCCAAAGGAACATTAGCACTTTCATTGGTCGCTGAATGTTGATGGGCTCTGTTTTTCATAGCATGGACTTTGCCCAGAGGACTGTTCATTCCATGTGCTAGATAATGTCTGCCAAGAGTAATTATTTTAGATCCATGAAAACCAGGTGGAAGGAAAGGATAGCTCATGGCATGAAATTGTTACCCATGTACGTGATGGATGGGCAATTTAACTGCCAGGAGTCTGGGAAGAGTTTTGTTGATCAGCTTTGAGAGCCTAAAGGAGAAGCAGACAGTGACCCACTCACAAAAGGCTCAAGCCACAAATGTGACCCAGATTGGGAGCTTCTGAAAAATCATTATAGTAGATGTGTTCATTCCATGAGGGTCACTGAATCTGATGTACATAATTAAAGTTCTTATGACCCCAGGGAGCAATTTAGTGGTCTGTTTTCATATTTCATGCAAGTGAACAGTTCCCTCTGAAATTATAAGCCTTGTTTTACAGAGCCAACTATATGGTATTAGCATGATGGCCTTGAATTGGGCAACATTTGTAGGAGCAAGTCTGGATGTGCTCTAGCCTACTCTTTTCCATGATGGGACTGAACTGCAATTCAAGAAAAGAAGGATAGGCTTTGCCAAATTCCAAGTACTCTGCATGAGAAGAATAGAATCACAGATTCACAGAATTGGAAGAGGCCATTTAGACATTCAAATCAAATCCCCTACCCACTACAGGAATCCAGATGAAAATGTCTGTGATGGAGATGGTGGTATGTGCCACCATTTCATAGATGGGGAAAAGTCTAAATGTTACTTTTCCCTCAATTCTTTTTTTTAAGCTGTTCATCTTTTACATCTTAAGTCGTTTACTGGGAGTACTTGGAACAGATGTCTTTATAGTTGAGATCTTCCTCTGCAGTGTTTAGAAATGAACAGATCTTGCATCCAGTATGTAGTGGTAAGAAGATAATAATTAGGTTCAAAGTTTGCCCTAAAACATGTTTAGACAGCAAGATTCTGCTTCAAATAGGCATAGTGCAGGGATCAGCACCTTTTTATACAAAATTTCAGCATAAGACTGCTCAATGCACAACATTTCAACATTGTCCTACAATTTAAAGGAAAACCAAAACAAAACAGGTGGGTTGGGGATTGGTCCTTGGACATTTTGAAGGCTCCACATTGCTAATCTTTGGCAAAATGATTTATTTTTATTTTTACTATGATCAAATCTCAATCAGTCCATCTTAATTCTGTAATATTTGGATTTGGACCTCTACATTTTCTGCATTATATATGCAGAGATAGTCTTGCTACTTTCATTCTATATTTTGTTAAGAACTCTACACTCTTGTAATAATTTATCACTTTGCCCTTTTTTCCCCCTAGGAAAAACTTATATTCTAGGTTAGGTTTACCATGTATATTTTGTTCCATGTATTGCATTCTCTCCACCATAAAAGAGAGGCAAAATCCTTTTTTTTTTTTTTTGGAGTCTTATTATATTTTGATGTAAAGTGCATTTCTACAAGTTTGCTCAAAACACTTTCCTTTGGTAAGAGCATGTGCACCACAACACAGAAGGACAAATATTTGCCATTCTGAAGCTGAATAACAGTGGCTACTATGATCCTGAGATCACACTTTCTTGGGATTCATGCTCAGATATCAAAGTATATGTAAGCATATCTGGGATGACCACTGTTTACATGTTCCTTGTCCTCACCATCTGCGTTAATTAATCCACAGCAATCCAAACATGACAGAAAAGCAAGCAAGCGTTACCTTTGTTTTAGCCTTATATCTTTTACTCCATCAAATTAGTCGGAATTGGTTCTTTTGTGGCATTAATGCTGGTGATGGTGATGGATCAATCAGTATTCTCAAATGCATGAACAATGGTAAATGAGGACCTATAGAACTTCCATGAAGGAAAGAGGGTCAGTAGCCTGCTTCTCAGGCTGACCCCTTGTGTCTCGCCCTTTCCCCTTCACCAGTGCAACACTGAGAATCATTCAGTCTTGCAAAGAGCTGCTGCTCATTGCCAACCCCATCTATCCATTTGATCTCAGTAGCTGCTCCCACATTATGCAAATTCATATTGCATTCATAGCTGGTGAATCCCAGCTTATTCAACAAATAAAAGGCTAGAAGACCAGTAAAATCAGTTACGCAGCATGCAAATCATAGTGATCTGGCTACTTTATTGATACTGACTTTCCCCCACCCTATTTTCCCTCAATACTCAACCAGATTTCAGAACAAAAACTTTCTTTTCCTTGTGATCTTACAAAACCTACCACCAACGCATTCGCCAAGTAGCAGAAAAGTTTCACAGAAATGTAGAAATGACTCCTGATCATGGAATAGTCTCTGAACTTGTTAGCTTGGATCAGAATGTATGACTATCTAGCAAGCATACATCTTGCTATTTATATCTAGGATGAACACTTAGTCAGAAGACTCCTGTTTTAAACTTGTTTATTAAAGCTGACTAATACTACAAAATGTTGAGTGATTGCAAGAATATGCACTTCATTATAGAAACAACAGTTTTCTAGGAGTCCCAAAATGACTTTTCAAGAACTATATGTTTATAGTAAGACGACCTTGGTAATACTCTAATAGCTATATTCCTGTGCACACTCAGTTGAAATGACACTAGTTTTGCACTGACAAACCTCTAGCAAACCAAAAGCTGTAGTGTGAAAATAATTCCTAATTGAAATATGGTTAAAATTGCAAGTAGTCTCCACTGGCCATTGTGTTTAACTCGCTGCAGGTGAAAAGCAAGCTAGGAGTGATCATTTCTTTATCTGTGCTAGTAACTTAGCAAATCTTCCATGAGAATCAAGGTTTGGAGTTTGGGAGATGCACATTCCTGACTGGGCTGGATGATGATGATGTAAATTTGGAAACTGGGGGAGGCAGGGCACACTGTTTTGAATGCTGCATTTTCTAAAAAATAAAGTATTTTTAAAGCAATCAGTTTTGAGCATTTCTTTAGTAGACTGAGATTTCTATCAACACAATTGGCCATTTTAAAAGTTCCCTATGCAGAAACTGCATCCTTAGCTAGCTACGGTAAATTTTACATCTCAGATTGATGGAAATTATTGCTACAAAGTGGTTGAACTTACCTTGTGAGGCCACATGGTTTGAAGTTCCTCACATAGTTGCAGTTGTGATCATGTTTGCAGATCTCTGCTAAACTCTGGATTTTTTGCCCCATCATGTAGACCGTATATATAGCCTGCATTGGTGTGTTCATGTTCAAGGCCCCACCTTTGGTTATTCAACAGCTTGCAAGGGTACCAAGACCAGTTTTACTGCTGAGAAGCCCACCCTAGGTATTGTTATGGGAGCCCCTCAAGGGTGGTTGAATAAATAAATGAATAAATGAATGAATAAAATAAATGAATAAATAAAATACTCCTGAAATCAAGTCTGTGAACATAATGTCGATTCTTAAGTTTCCAGCAGGGAGATCACTGTTGCTGGCATTCTTCATGTATGGAGACTAAAGGCAAAGTTTATCTTACAGTATATGATTTTGAGGGGCTAATAACAGTTGTTCAGTTACTCAATTTCATTTGATTTTGACATACTGACAAATATATTTCAAGTACAGATTTGAAAATACCTTGTGCCAAGGAAGATGTCTAATCTGCAGCTGAAACATGATGAAGGCAATGTACTACAGTATATTTATGCTGAATTTCAAACCTTTGTAGGTTGCCCTTTTAAAGCATGGGACCTACCTGGTCCTAAATACTAAAGAAACATTTTGATCCATTTGTTTCTTCTTTCTTGTGTCCCAAATATTGTCTCAGCTCAATTTATGGACTCAATTCAGTCTTCACAGCTGGTTCTCATGCATTTTGGTATAGATGAACAGAAACCTCAAGCTGTAACTCCCCAGGGGAATCACAAAAATACCTCTGCAAATTGCTATATTGATGTGCTGGATTTTGTCACAGATGCTCAGTTCTAGAAACATTTGGGGGTTATCAGGTGAGAGGCATTTGAGAGAGAAGAGTTAAGATGTGATTTATGTAGTTAGGCATGGAGAGTTAGGCATAACTCAATTTTTCTGTCTGCTGGGATATATTGAAGCTGAGACTTCTGTGTGGTGGGTAAGCACTATGCATTTCATAAGTTGGTCAATTCATAATTTAAAAGCAAAGGAATGTGCCATAGCTAAAACTGAGTATTATGCCTCCAAATTAATGGGGCACGTGGTATAATTCCCTTGCCTAGGCTTCAAGTTAAGCACTTAATATATCCGATAGATCTTCACACAAAAAGGCTCCACTAAGGAGCATAGCGTGTGGGCGTGTCTGCCATCGGATAATGAGCCTAGGTAAACACGATCTGCTAAGGAACAGTCAATCTTTATTTAACATCCAGGTCTCACAGTAAGCCAAGAGCTGCCATTCTCCAGGATGGCAAGAGGCTGGCTTCCATTCTAATTCATGTACAGACTGTCCCATTCAGAATCTCTACTGTGAGCAAAGACAACCAGTTAAGTATGGGTATCTTATGTGAGGCATAAATATATGTGGGCCATAGCTACCTTCCTCAGAGATCCAATAGGAATTTGAAGGGGAAGTTGGAGGGGAGCAAGCTGATGGACATCCTCACTTATGGACAGTGGCAGGGTGTGGCGCCTAGATTAAATTTACACCCTAGGCAGAGTGCAGTAAATAGCATGATGTGCCCATGACACTAACTAACACTGCAGTTCAGTTCGGGTTCTCTGGACACTAGTTCAGCATTAGGCTAATTCCATTTCTTCAGCATCACACACAAGGGCTCAATTCAGGCTGTTATAATCATCTCAGCATGTGAGCACGGGTGCATCTGATAACCAAGAATGTGCAGCCACTGGCTTGTTTTTTGCTATGGATACATAGCAAGACCCCAGTCTGTGTCTCTCTGACAGAAACAGCACTACTGTTCTCTTCCCTACAAAAACAAATGTGTGCTTCTCTGCACACTTTTTTCATTTCCTTGTTAATATTTCAATTTATCTTTTATACTTTAGTACTGTTTGTAGTGGCATCTGCCTCCAGGTCTCTTAAGGCACAGAATGGTTGTATACCAAGAAGTTGGGGAGTTACAGTGCTCCCAAGCCGTGTCAGTTATGGCACTTGGGTTAGAGATTCACTCCCATCCATCACACTTTATTGTGTTTAAATGGCAAACGCTGGTGTGTGTGGAAGCAGTTATATTGGGTATATAAAGTATGAATATCAAATGTCTAGATAAAGGTCACTGTGCTGACATAACCAGTCTTTTTTTGAAGCAGCCATGACCAACTTGCTAACACAAATAGAACTTTTCCATAAGGAATGTGTAAGAAGGAAGTCAGAGCAAAGAAACAAATACCAGCCCCAGATAAAAAGAAATTCTCGGCAACAAGGATTAATGTTGCCTTAATGCTTCACACCTTACCAGAAGTGAGTAACCATTAACCCCCATCAATCCTGTGTCCTAAACTGGCCACATCACTTGTCTATTACTTGCCCAAGAACGTCAGCATTACTCAGGGTCTGTCCTCCCCAAGCCCCGTGAGTCATTGTGCGTGTGTGTGCATGTGCACCTGCACATATATGTTTGCTGAATTAAATGCTATGCGAGTAGCCACGATCCTCGTTCTCCAACCTGAGTTATATTTTCTCTGTAGTACACAGGAATAACTAGCTCACGCCAACTGCTTCCTTCTGTCCAGCATTTGGCAGACCCTTTTGCTCAAACCTCCAAAACAGAGCACATAGCTTTTCCTTCCTTAATTTTCTATTGCTATCAGAAAAAAAGATAGTAATAATAGTAATAACAGGAAAGCATGGGAGGGTTTCAAATGGAAGTGATAACATCTGGACCCCCTTTGGAAAGGAGGAAGGGTAGCTGCATACTCCAAATCTCATCCAGAAGCACTTGACATGCAGCACAGTGACCTCATTAATTTTCTCAGCAAAGGCATCATTGACAAAACTCAAAGCAAGAGTCAAAGCAGAAGATTGGGCCTCCTTACCTTTGTAGTGCTGATGTATCATTAGCACACTCTGGCTGGGACTGTGATCGGCTGCTTTTATTACTACTACAAGCCACAACTTGTGCTGCTACTTTTGCTAAATTCCAGTCCTCTCCACAAGAAGCAAGAGGGTTGCCATCTGTCTAGAAACTGTCTGATGAAGCTTACAAGATGCCAGATGAGGGGAGTGGAAGGGCTTATTGCGCAAAGGAATAGATGATATAATTATTGTTTCCCAGCAGTGGAGGACCGACAATTATGTCTCCACCAGAGACAAGTTTGAGATTGAACTCCAAAGATGCCACTTATGGTTTCTGATGGTGCTAGAACTCCAGAAACTGCTTTTAGGCACTATCTGCAAGCTGAGACCATAAATCATTTTATAATCTCCAAAGTCCCTTTAACCTATGGCAATTAGGTTTTTTAAAGATAGCACCATGGCCTTTTCTCATACAGCACCCAAATTTTGAAATGTTCTCCCACAAGTAGTTTGTTTGATCCAGCATTGCTGACAGATAATATACTTCTAGACATGAGGGATACTGCTCTGTGTATGGTCAATGAGATTTAACGTTATTTAGTATTATGACAATTGCTGTCACCTTGCTTGGCAATCTTCCATTCTTAGGCTGTTTGAACTTCCAACCACATATCTTCATGCGATCCTAGCTTATTGTGGAGTGTATTGCTGGATAGTTCATCATTTTCTTTATGATGATATCCTTGGAACTTCTACCACAGGCCCCCACTCAAGTGAACTCACCTGTATGATCATGTTAATAGTGCCAAGGAAGGGCAGCCTTGAAGGTCCCTCTGAGGATGATTGCTGAAAACTGAATTTTGAGGTGGGAAACACATGACAACTGTTGTGTAAGCCCTACAATTAACCAAGTATAACCATAAAACAAAGAAAATCACCAATATTACCATCAAAATCAACCCCACCCACATGTTTATTCTGCTCCAGAAAAGGAAATGCAGGTTGGTGAATTTCCCATAATTTGATCACCAGTAAGGAGTAGCAGCCTTCTTTCTACACCTACATGAGTGATATGCTCTATAGACAGTTTAGTGGTACCCCTTTCAACATTAAACACATGCTTTCACACTACATGAGTGATGATTTGTAGGCTATCCAATACTGACAGTTGCACGCAGAATTTGTGGATGCCTTTCTCTGTGTACACTGTTAACAGGTTGAACACCTTTTAGACCTGCAATGAAGCAGAAGACTTTCTCATTGCTTCTGCTCGATCTGTCCATAACAAACAAGTTGCTAGCAAGCATAAGAGCCACAAGAAGAAGTAAGAAATGAATGGAAGAAAACAAACTCATGTGTCTTCCATAAATTGGGGAAACCTAGCGCTACCAAAACATTCTCAAGATGCTGATCTTTCCAATCTCTCTTGACCTTATTTATTTGATTTATGCCCCACCTTTCCTTCAGGAGCTCAAGATGTGCACTTACTGCTCCTCCTCCAATTTTCTCACAACAGCAATCCTGTGGGATAGGCTGTGCTGAGTGTGACTAGCCCAAAATCATCCCTTGAGTTTTTATGACTGAGGACAGATTTGAACCTGAACTTAGTCCAATACCTTAACTACTATTCCTTAAGGGCTAGTTGAACTTTAAAGCAAAAACTTCTCATTTGAATTTCACTGGCTTGCCCTGTGTTGCTGGGAAACAGCACTAACAGAAAATTAACAGCCCAATTCACCTCATAGGGTGGTGGTTGTTGTGGGGAAAATAGGAGGAAGGAGTATCAGGTATGTTTGCCGCCTTGAGTTATATATGAAAATAAGAAAGGTGAGATTAAAAAAAAATCTTTAAAAAATGCAACCTCATCCTTAGTTTGGTTTCTTGTCCCAGCAGATCAAGAATTTCCTTCCATCATATGTTGGATGAATCAGAGCAATGGCAGGTATGTGGCAATGGCACCAGTATAAAGGACAAAGAGAGAAGAAGACACTAAGGATTTGAGAACTTTCAGTAGACAAGACAAAGAGCCATGAGAGGTAACTCATAGAATTTAAAAAAAATAATTTGCATGGCTGCTCAAGAGGAAAGATATTTCTGGCTTTCAGTACATAGCATTATAAAAGAATGAAGCATTAAGGCACTGGGGATCACATGAAAAATATTTAATTTTAAAAAATTATGTTTTCTCTCCCCCATCCCTTGATAAGAGAGGTAGCCTGACAAGTACACATATTTACCTACATATATACTTCAATTAAACAGCACCAATCACATTTTGGAGGACACCTAGTTGGTTCAAGTAGGAAAGGTTTG